TGTTTTCGTTCATATTTCCTCGATTTTTCTCTCTTAACTGACTTGTTACTCTCGTAGGATTAATATAAACACAACTCTGATTAGATTAACGCACGGGAATGCAGCCAATACGAAACTCGTGAATGTTGACGGCCTTTTAGCTTTTTACTTCTCACAATAGGAAGTGACGTAATGATCCAATAAATAAACCAGTAAAGCGGAAAAAAATTCCTTGTTTTTTTCTTTTCTTTTCAGTTTCGTGACGTTGGTGCTACCATGGCGAGGACATATCACTACGTGACAAAACGTGTTCACCGCGCCTTGCGTTACCTTTAAACATTTTTCGCGTTGTTTCTAGAGTTTCTAATCGTTCAAATTTATCGAAAATCGCAGGGCGTTACGAAGTTTTATTCTTATTCTTATCGAATTCCTAAGCGTCGTAAGCCAAATTTAAGGTGAATAGTGGCCTGTTTTCGCAGGTGCCATGCAAACAAAGCCCCGGAAAACTCTCGCTTTTACCGGAACTGGGTTAATTTTCTAATATTACTGTGCCCAATATCGCAAAAAATATTAAATTGGACAAGCTTCTTCGGAAACACATAGCCTTGTTAGGATGTTGATATAATGTTTTGGTCTTTATTAGTCGTGTGCGTACGTGTGAAAACGCAAAAAGAGACTAACGAGGGAATACTGGAATCAACAAAACCACCTTTTAGGGCTTGCATCAAGACATTCGGACGTAATTGCTTTGATCTAATGAAGTCTGGGATTATTTATTACTGCATAAAGTAATCATCAGAATACAGCTTTTATTAAAATAAATACAATTTTAAAAAAATTAATTTCTATTTACAGAAATTTGTTCAGTCTTATCCAAAATTCGGGACACACCCGGGAAGAAACAGGGTTGAATCAAAATCCTAAATAGAAAGTTACGAACTTGATCAAAATGTACCTAAACAGAAAGGTTGAATTTAAATCCGTCAAAAATGACTTCCCTCTTGATTTCAGCTGAAATCTGATTAGGTTTTGAGCTTCATCATCTCTGAATGTCTCCAATTAAGAGCATGTTCTGTATCAACATAATTACAAGCCAATTCACTTTCGAAATTGAAGCTGAGACAAAATTGGAATGAATCTATACTCTAAATCGACAGCTTTCATTTAAATTGAAATACTTTAATAATAAACCGGTGTAAGACTTAAACATTTGATATAAAAAGAAAAGTCACATTTAATTTTGAGAATTTGACGACCATTTTTTCACCGCCAAACTTAAACATGTACGATTAGACCTGAAACTGATTTTTTTGTTTATTTTGTCGAAACTGAGGTGGGGCTAGGAACTCGAAATTCATAGTTACGACTCCGTCATTCGCTTGATCTAGTTTCGATACAGTTAGTTTGAGTTTCTTGTACGTCGAAACCTTTTCATTTCCTGCTTCACATTAGTGAAACTTTAAGATTAAAATTCACCATGATTAACTCTAACGAAATTGCGACTTCAATATCTCTTTAGGCAGTATTGTTTCAATACCGGTGGCAAGTTTTAACCATATGACGCCTTTCAAGGAAACAACCTACCAATAATTTTAACACGAAGTTGCAAATTAAGGGGTTCGTTACATTCAATTTGCTGGAAAATTAACAAAACTGGTGAAAACTGAAAACGAAGGAACTAATTTCTCAGTGTGACAGATATTTATGAGATGTTCAAAGGAAATGTTGCATCATCTTTAAAGCGTGCAAGTTTCATGTTCGGACAAATGGGTTTTTTGTTCTTCAGGATTTCCGAGATAAAAGTCTATTTACCTTCAAGAACTCTACCCCTTCAATACTCCCACAAGATTTATATGTAAGGTTCCGTTCTGAGGCGTAATTTCTGTGGAAGTCATACATGTGATACATTTGAAGTATTAGAGTTGCTATTTTTGTTTTCTTGAAATGAGATCAAACAAATTGGCGCGATGTAAACAAGTGTCAATATACGAATATCACTGACTGTCCTTGGCGACGCTGTCGCCAAATCAAATATTGAATTTTGTTGAAAACAGAAACTGACTCAGCGGCCAAAGAACACGCCAGGACGCAATTTGAATGGAATGGAAACATGATTGAAAACTCAGCCTCGGTGTTGATTTTGTTTCATTATTTTCCAATATTTTTCAAGATTTATTGAAAGGTTTCGATGCGATCTTTGATGTTCTCGGGCGAAACTAGAAAGGAACCGAAAAATGTTATTGATTTCAGTAGTTTGAAAAATGGATCTTGTCTTTCCAACCATTGCATTGCATGTTTCCAATACAACGCGAGGTTCACATGTTAGCGCCTTCCACTTATAAGATTATTTTTGTCTGTCACTTTTGCAGAATTCGCGGGATATTTGTGCAACAAGGAGAGGTTAATGAAGAAACAATAATTTTCCTCAAGAATCCACTTCTCGCGCAGGGAAGACTGTAACTGGAGGAAAAAAAATGAACGAATAAAAAAAAAGACAAAGAACTGTTGGCATCATTTTGGAGAAGGGCCAATATCAGGCTTACCATGTGCGAGAAACAAAGTCAAGTAAAAGGAGTAGGCAAGTTTCCTCGGTCACGCCTAGTAGTTAGTGCGAACGCAAACGAAAACAGAAGCGGTTCAATATCAGAAGATACAATAATTGATATTTGTATTACAGGCAAAGGTTTTAATACGTAAAAATACGACGTGTATATGAGTAAAGTATCATTAGAGATGAATCAGTGAATAAGTTCCTACCTCTTACGACTGTAAAGTGCCAACCCGCGCGCAAACAAAATTCTGATTTGTATTAATTTCGAGAGCCAGAAGTAGGAGAGTTCTCATTTTGGGGCCCTATCGCGTGGTTAAGCCAAAGAAAATAGGATTTCTTAGAGACACGAGAATTTTTCCGGGAAAAAAGCGAGTTTGTAAAAAATTATCTGTAAAGGAATTGGCTTCAAGTTTGAGGGTAAGAGGATATGTTTGTGGTAACCGAGTTCGATTGAAGAATGTTCTACTGTGGAAACATGTTTTATTGTTATTTTTATTATTACTCTGGTCTGTGGTCTGCACATGTTGCGACTGATGTAAATTTGTGTCGATGCTGGTTTAATGATTGAGGTGAAGGCATCGTAAAAATGAGATTTGGCTCAGGCAGTTCAAAAGTGCTCGATCGCTCAGACAAAATGGAAAATAATGATTTAGTTCATTGGCCATCCTCTCTAGGTCACTGATTTCAGCAATTAAAATTCTACTGATTTGAAAAGGCCAAGGCCATATTGTTTATTCAAGGTGTACATGTAATATTAAAAGAATTTCAAGCTTGTCACGTGAAAATCAGAAAGAAAACGTGTTTACATCAAATAAAATGGTATTTCTCATGGACCGACTAAAGGCTGTCTCTCTCTGTAGTTCATTTGGCATAGTATCAATGCGCAGAATCTGATAAAGGTCGATCTGGGGTTCGATTCTCAGTGAGAACTAATAGTTTTTCCTTCGCCCCACGCTCGTGACAAGACTCTTAAAAAAAACGCGTGCACTTATTTTTTTAATACATAGTGTCACGTACATCAAGGCCTGATTGATATTGATGGGCGGTCGAAAATTCTCGGATGGTCGGGAATGCAGCCGATGAGTTGCTGATTTTTTCCTTGGTTTGAAAGGCCAAGAATAAATGTCTCCCGGTGCCTTTATTATGGCGCCACACATTTGAAATAAAAAGCACTCTGCGGTGATAAACATGTTGCTTATCTTTCAGTTGTTAGTCACCATACTTCTCGTCAACATTTAGAGTTACTTGAGTTATTGGAATGCGCCGGAATGCAGTCGAAGATAAACATGCTAACAAGATAGTAACTCAGATACAATGAAATATATGAAGTTCATATATTGTGTACTGCGGTATTAGATATCACTTTCACGGGTTTATTACGAATCAACTTAACGGCCTACTCCCAGTTGGCTTGTTAGCTCAATTGGTAGAGCGCTGCACTAGTATCGCAGAGGTTAGTGGTTCGAATCCCGTTCAGGCCTGATTTTTTTCAGGTCTGATTTTCGCTATTGCTTAAATAGCGCTATCTACTGCGAGGATCGTGTATCATATATATCTAATACCGCAGTTCAAAATATATGAACTTCATATATTTCATTGTATCTGATTTATCACTTTCACGGGTTTATTACGAATCAACTCAACGGCCTGCTCCCAGTTGGCTTGTTAGCTCAATTGGTAGAGCGCTGCACTAGTATCGCAAAGGTCAGTGGTTCGAATCCCGTTCAGGCCTGATTTTTTTCTGGTCTGATTTTCGCTATTGCTTAAATAGCGCTATCTACTGCGAGGATCGTGTATCATATATATCTAATACCGCAGTTCAAAATATATGAACTTCATATATTTCATTGTATCTGATTTATCACTTTCACGGGTTTATTACGAATCAACTCAACGGCCTGCTCCCAGTTGGCTTGTTAGCTCAATTGGTAGAGCGCTGCACTAGTATCGCAGAGGTTAGTGGTTCGAATCCCGTTCAGGCCTGATTTTTTTCAGGTCTGATTTTCGCTATCATATGTAAGATAGTAACTGTATCCGATAAAGCTCAATAACATTAAAACTTGTCTTTTAGTCTTTCTTCTTTGTTGTTAGGTGGCTTCACGGAAACGATTTATCATACTGGCCCTCAAGAGTGTCTATTTTTTTGGTTCCTGTTAATCGTTTTGCCACATGGCCTAGAAACGCCTTAAACTCAACACAAATCTAAATACACTCGCAACATTTGGCATAGCGGGTTGTTGAGATTTTTACATGACGCTCATAATTTTTTAAATCTTACGGAAGGAATATTTGCTTATCTTGAACTGGTCCACTGTAGACCAAACGTTTTTCTCAAGTTCGACAAAAACTTTTTTTTAAAATGGACTATTTATACAACTTATAAAACTCGATATGAAATTAAATTAACAAAAACACCCCACATTGAACGCGAGAGAGCCGCGTTCACAAAAAGCCTACAAATTCGTAAAAGTAATGGGACGAAGCTTCTTATTTAATTCAGTTTCAAAACTTCTCAGTTCTCAGAACTTAACATTCCGGTTAATATTCTGAATGCATCTTCGCTAGAATTCTCGGACTGTGTAACATTAAAACTTTGCCATAAACACTATGATAACAAAAACATGATTGAGTCGGTCGTTCTAGCCCCAGTCTTATTAGTGGTCGACTTATCATTTCCTTATGGCCTTCACAGACCACTTTTCATGCCATTCTGTAGCATAACTCGAGCTGAATAATTTTCTATTGCTGGACATCTGAGATTTCTTGGAGGACTCGGCCAACTTCACCTTCTTCTTCATTGGCACAACCTTTTTGGAAGTGCCCAGCTGTGCAGATTTTGTCCCCGCATTTTCCTTTACCACCAAAGGAGGCAGCTTGTCTAATTTTTCCTCTTCGTCCCGTTTCCAAAACGAAAACTTGTCGAAGCCGAAGATTGGACGATCGGGAATGCGATTTGATGTGCCCAACGACATGATCAGCTCTTCTGGTTCCAAGTACGTCATGTAATCTGGACGTTGATACACATCAGGTTTTTTCAGTTGAGAAATCTTATAACACCGTTTTCCATACGTAACTCTGTACCTCTTGTGCTTCTCCTCTTCACTAAGTTCTTGTTCTTCGACCTTGCTATTATCATGGTAATACCAATCTGGTACTTTATATCTTCTAGGTTCGCTGTTTCTTCGTTCGTTTTCTTTATAACATAACAGGTTCTTTCGCCCGCCAGTTTTGGCTAACTTCACGTACTTCGAATCAGTTTCTGAAACTCTTCCCACATTCAGATATTTGTTTTCCTCCGCGTTTTTAATAACCAGCCTTGCTGTCTCGTTAGTAAGGTCCGGCACTTGTGAAATAGGAACACGCTGAATTGGTTTTGAGTCTGGCTTTTCACGAGGAATGTAATAACAGTACCAAATTTCTTCCCTCTCAGGCCTGTCCAAAGGCTTGTAAAACGGCTTGACCATACTTCTTACAAAGCCTTCTTTCTATACTTCACAGGTCTTTCCGAACAATCTTTCCGACAGCAATTCACTAACAGAATGAAAATAAATCCATGATGGTGCGTCAAGTTGAGAGCTTTTTCACAATTGTTAATACTTGATCATAACCGATTACACTATGGGACTTTTAATTACTGTTGTTTATTTACCAACCAGCTAATGAGAAAGGAGACTGTTCACCGCAGTCATAAGATGTCGCCGACTATTGTAAACAATGCTTTTACGAGATATTTGTGAGTAGCTTGAAACTTGCAGCTTTAGTGAAAAACGATATTTTTGCTCGGAAGACCGGATGAAAAGCGAAAACGAGTGCGATTCCAAATAGGGCGAAAAAAAAAATAGATCCCTCTTCACTTCTTATTAGCACTTGGTTTACAAGCGAGAGATAAACGGACGGATGTAATCAATAAATAAAACTCTACACTTAAATAAATTAGGTGTGACAAAGTTTTGGAATCATGCTCACCAACAAAAATCGAAACATTAGTTACAGACGAAGTGAACAGGTCGAAAACAAAATCTTCTTATCGTAGTTTGAAGTCGTTTTAACAAAAGATAATAGCTTTAAGGCAACTTACTCATTTGTAGCTTAGTTTTGGCTCATCACTTGTCATTGTTTCCTTAATAAATTTCGCTCTCGCGCGAGATCGTTTTCTCCAATTAAACTGTAATAATTTATTATTGAATTATGACGCAGTTTAGCAGCTTGCAGCATGATACGAAAATCTGGTATGGAATTACTTCGATGGCAATCTACAGAAGAAGTAATTGGCGATAATTTTTTAATCAGAGGTCACGATCTGGGCTAATGAAGCTTATCAAAGCTACGACAAAAATTCTCGAACGTGATTGGTTATCACAAGCCCGATTTGAACACCAATAGGACAGTGAACGTGTCATGCCTGTGGAATTGTAAATCACTTGTAAGATTACTGACCAATTATTACCAATATATCATTAATACTCTGAGCTTAAACAGCGTGAAAATAACCATCAAACTCAAAAAGCAGTTTCCAATTGATAGTCAAAAACAATTTGGGATCGCATATTCGATGGTTTTGTTTCAACTCCCGTCCTGTTACTCCTTTGAAAACTCAGTCCTCCTTGCCTCGGCGAGAAACCTTCCCCACAGTCACCTTTTCCCGCGCTACAAGCAGTTTGCTTTCTCGCTTGAAATCTCATTGCCTGCTTGAGATTTGGAACTTGGAACTTGGAACTTATACTCTCAAATAGCTGGGCCAACGCTGGGAGATTTAGAATAACTAATTAATAGTGCTAATAATCTACAATAAATATGTAAAGTCTAAAAGAAACAATAAATGTAAATAGTTCAAAATCTTTTCAGGTGGCTCGGGGTCTTCATGTTCTGAATGTCCCTTATGGCTAATGATTTAAAAGAAGTAATGTTCTCAGCATGGACTGTTTGAGTTGACAGTTTATTCCATGCTCGAACAGTTCGTATAAACGGAGAATAACTGTGCGCCAAAACACTTGAGTGGGGCTGGAGCATGGCATGTTGGATCCTTGGTCTAGGAGCTGGTTGGATAGAAGATGGGAATTCAAGATCTATGAGAATGTTTTTCAGTGATTTTAAAAAAAACAGTAACTTGGGCTAGCAAACGTCTGAATGCCAAGGAGTCCCAACCAAGTTGATTTACAAGATCTTGTGAGTTTGTAGATCTCTTGTAATTGTGCGCGACGAAACGAGCAGCCCGTCGCTGGACTTTTTCGATAGTTTCAGTGTCCCTGTTTCTGTGTGGATTCCAGGCAGCACTTGCATATTCTAGTAAAGGTCGAATAATTGCTTTGTAGGCTCTCTCCTTGACTTC